ATGGGAAGCTGAGTCAAGTCAGTCAGTCAATATATCATTTAATTTTTTAAACATGGGTACTGTCTGATGAGCCCTCAGACATTATACAAGCATGTAGTTCCCTAACTGTGTCAAACCTCTCCTGTCTGACCTGTAACAAAAACATAGACTTCAATGAGGATATCATATACCATGCAGTCATATCTTATTGATCGCGCGCTAACTTGGGAGTCATGGAGGCATACATCCAGAAATTGACATCTAGTGAATCATTGACGTACTTATCATACGTATCCCTGACTTCAGCTGAAGCAATCCTACTAGGAGCGTTAGGAGGTTGGTTCTCAAGAACGTAAAACTTCTTTTCATGCCTAAGGATGACCCTTAGGAATTGAAACCATCCGAGGAGTTTAGTCCCGTTTAGTTTTTTCTTATCAAGGATTGATCGTAGTGGAAATTGGGATAAGTACGAGTTGTTTGCAAGTAAGTTTGTGTTTAAGGTGTTAGCATACATCTACAAAAATTAAGTTCAGTTTTAGTAACTTTAAAATCTCAAACAAATGAATCAACCTCTAAAAATCATTTTAATTTTAGCTGAAATCCGTACTTCACCTATGCTCATAAATAGTCAAATTAGCACGTCTATGAAAATAGGTTATTTAGGTAGGCATCATCCATTTACGTTCAACGTAACTCTTAGGTGTTCGTGGAATTCTATTCAATATATCATTTATTGAAATTGGCATGTTTAATCCTACTACGATGCCTTGAAAATACTCATAACTATCTATGAAATTTCCAAGTAAATTAACCATTGTAAGATATTGTGATCCCACCTAGATACTGATTTAGGATTTGTTGGGATCAGTCGTCTAAAACATGACTATTTAAGTTAGTGGCCAAATGCAGCTGTTCACTTAAATCTCTTTATTTTGGCGTCTTGTCTCACACTACAATCATCCGATATGAATGGCTAATGCACTCACCATACAGGAATCAATAAGTCTTAACAAGTACCTTAAATGGGAGGCGTATAGTTTGTATTTGTGAAAGGTTTGAATTTTAGAACCATTTTATACTTTTAAAAGGTTTGATTTTATCTCTAAAATTAAAATCTCGTTCTTAAATTTATCCACTTCAAAAATTTGATTTTATTTGATAACCATATCAATTTTAAAATATCAGACTTTATCCATCGAATTTAAAAAAACATTTTGCGTTTGATTTATTTTTAAAAACCTTTTGCAATCTTTATAACAATAAACCAGCAAATAAATAAATAAAATGCAAGTATAAAGTTAAATATATGGTATAGCCCCTAATGTGGTGTCGTGAGCCAACATGATAACAACTGTCAGTGTAGGACGTCTTCAAGCTCCCACTAGCTTCTCCAACTTGGTGAACTTCGGGACTCCGTCTTGACCGTTTGGATCATCGTCTTTAGTTTGTTTACAGTTTTAAAACTAGAAAAGATAATATATCCTAATCTATTTTACAATTATCTCTAATGAGAAATTTAATATAAAAACAACACGCAAGTCTTATTTAAAAATTACAACTCATGCAATTAGTACATTTTAAGTTTCCAACCAAACACATCCACGGATCTTTTGGGGCATACCATATATTATTCAAAATTTTAAACATAAAATAAATTGGCCAATTACAAAATAAACATAAATAAAATGGATCAAAATATGGAAAAAATTAATAAAAACAAGAAAATATCCTAAAACGACCCGATTCTCGAAGACACGGCTCGGGAAGCTTTAGCCTATGAGTCCAACTATGATACGGGTCTCCACCTAGCTCAATATTCAGTCGAAGGTGTTCAAGGACAACCTCTCGACGTAGGGCCAGCGGTGGTCGGTCAGCCATGGATCACAAATCGGCGCATGGTACGACATAATAACTGACAGTCGATGCTAGTAGTCAATTGGCAACAACATTGGGCCGTAGCCCCAGCTGCACCAGCCGCATGGCTCAGAGGCTAGCAACCAACGATTGAAACCATCACGACAACAGTCGTTCAGCTCGAGACCAACAACGACGCTGCTTGGCACAAGGCCAACAGCCGACGCACAAACCAGCATGACACTAGTCGCATGGTGTGATGGTCCAACAGTAGGTCACGGTACCAGTTGCACAAAGCAGCGGTACCAGCGACGTCCAGGCGGGATTAGACAGCGGTAACAATGATGTCGTGGGTGGCTATTATCGAGGAACCCACCGCCTTCGCATGGGTCAAAACCCTATGTGCACAACGCTGGTTCTTTTAGAAGGGAGGGGTCTGAATCAATTTTTTGTTTTGTTAATATTGTTCTGTTAATTAAATGCAATCAAAGTGGCTTTGATACCATTATATGGTTTCAAAACAATTTTGTAACCTTCAAACACAGAGGAAAAACAATTAAGTTACATTATTTACAAAAAAATTTCCAAAAAAAGAAGAAACTCTAGCCAGATCCAGTGACACATTTGATTAATTCTAAACAAACCATTGGGTGTTTAGAATGCTCACCTTTTATATCTGAATTTGGTTCTGATAGACCACTTAGAAATTAAAATATATTTCTTCTATCGTAGATCCACACACGAATACGCTTTTGGCCACTACCAGGTGCAAGCCCAAAACCCTATTCTAGTATGTGTTTTATAGAAAATAAAGAAAATGTTTTTTTCTATTTCTTTTCTGTATTTTAGTAATCACTGAATGTAAAGGATATTATTTAATCCTTTAAAGCTTATTTGTTTATTTATAGTTAGTTCATCTGAGCTATGAACTAACTATAAACCAAATCATGGGTTGGGCTTATGATTATCCTCAAGTATATAAATAAAAATAAGCCCATAAGGTTTTATATAATTTTATTAATTAGAATAAAACTAAGACCCAAAATAGATTTTACAAATAAAACCTTGTAATTATCACAATTACATTTTTGGTCACATACTTCAAATTATTCTACAAGAATACTTATTTTCAACAAGCAACATGATATGATTAGGGTTTCTGGTGATAGAAACATATGTATTCTTTGTGTATGACCTTATAGATTTACATACCATTGACAATGTTTTTGTATAACAAGTGTCATGGGCATATAATAACTTACAGATACAAACAACAATTCGGGGTTTATTACATGGAAGTCTTCTCTCCGGTTGCGAGACATGACACAATCAGACTGGTGGTTGAATTGGTTGCTCATATCTCTTGGCCAATCTACCAACTTGATGTCAAATTGGCGTTTCTACATGGATACTTAAAGGAACATGTATATATTGATCAACCCGCTCCCTATATCAAGACTAGAAAGGAGAATAAAGTCTATCGACTAAGGAAAGCCCTCTATGGACTTAAACAATCCCCACAATCTTGATATAGTCGCATTGATGAGTATTTTCTTAAGGATGAAATGTCCTTTTGAGCACTCTATGTTTGTTACAGTTGGAAGAAATGGAGAAATGCTCATAACATGCTTGTATGTTGATGACCTCTTAATTACTGGAAACAATTCTACCATTTTTGGAGAATTTAAGAGGTCCATGATGAATGAATTTGAAATGTTTGATCTTAGTTTGAAGCAGTATTTTCTAGGAATAGAAGTAATGCAATTAGATGTTGGAATGTTTCTTTGCCAAAAAAAAATATGAGGAGAAATTCTTAACAGGTTCCAAATTAGGGATTGCAATGAAGTAAGCATTATGACTGAGTGTTGCATGAAGTTACACAAAGATGGATATGGAAAGAGGGTCGACAACACTCTTTAAGCAAATAGTGGCAGTCTGATGTGTCTTATTGCTACAAGACCTAATATCATGTTCTTTGTGTTTAATCAACAAGTAGACGGATAATCCAACAGAGCTGTAATTAGCTGCCAAGAGAATACTTCCTTATTTGCAAGGAACTCGAGATCTTGGTCCCTGCTATAAGAAAAGTAATAAAGATGATTAGTTGGGGTTCACCAATAGTGAATATGCACGTGATCAAACTGACAGAAGGAGTACATCGGGCTATGTTTTCATGCTTGGAACATGTGCTATTTCTTAGGCCATCCAAAAAGCAAAGATTGTCACATTATCAACAATAGAGATTGAATTTGTCGTTGCTATAGCTTGTGCTTGTCCAACCATATGGCTTAGAAGGGTTCTTCACGAGCTGCACTTTTAAGCAACCTGGAGCTACTAAAATCTTCTGTGACAACAACTCAAGAATCAGATTGTCGAACAATCAAGTGCTACACGAAAGAAGTAAACATATAGATTTAAGATTTTATGTCTTAAGGGATCTTCGGCATGATGATCTTCCACACTGCAAGAGTGAAGACCAAGTTGCTGACATTTTCACCAAGGCGCTAAAGAGAGACTCATTTGTGAAGCTCAGAAACCGGGTAGGTCTATAGGGACCGAAACCGACCGTTGACAACTTTAGTTTAAGGAAGGGTTTATTGAGATAAACTTTGTTTTTTTTTTTTTTTTTTTTTTTTTTTTTTTTTTTTTTTTTTTTTTTTTTTTTTTTTTTTTTTGCACGTTTGATTTGTTTTTTAGTTGTAATGGGTAGGTCATAGAGGTTTTTCTTATTTTAAGAGCAAGTGAAAAGGTGGAGTTTATGACTCTTATAAGGGGAAGATGGGTGGGAGTAGGTTAGGTTTTGTATTTTTATTTATTTTTATAAATGCTTTAATTTAATAAAAACGAAATAAAAAATGTTGAAAAAGACTAAACTACCCTTAATTAAACTAATGTTTTCTAACAAAGTTAGTCCTAAAAGCAAAAGGGTAACGGAAATGTAAAGATAAATTCTAAAAAACCAAGGACAAAAATATTATAAACAACAATGGTAATGAAAAAGTTTAGTCTTTGGTTATGTTATCATATTTTTTTTATTAACTGGAATATCCAACCCGCTATGCGAGCCGACTAATCCCAGGACGACCACCTACTTAGCAGGTAACCCGAAGTCACCGCATTTAAACCTCCATGACCACAAGGGGATTTTTTGTTCCTTCTTGATTATATAAAAACACCGATAAAATAATACAAGTTTATATTTGTTGACTAAATTATTCACATCTTAATAAATAAAACATCAAATGGTGCTTGTTAAAATGTCACAACCAAAATATACACAATGGCTAAGAACAGAGCTTTAGGTAACCATCTTCCGTTCCAACCAGAAAAAGTCGTGAAAACGGAAGAATGGTTATGTTAGATAACACCGACATGTTCCTTGACTCACGATCCCCTGTGTACAGGTATTGCGGTGTGATCCGATGTTGCCCCTCCTGCATATAACATTACATTAATGGAACTACAAACAAAATCTACACATTATCTATGAAACATACAGCACTTACCTGTTGAGACAAGGAAGAAAGGCCAATCTTACTTCTGGATATTGAAATAACATCTTGTCCCCAAATAGAAAAACCAGATACACCATCGTTGTGACCTCTGAATACCATTAATGCTGATGCCAAATTCCTGCACACACACATGTTTGGTTTTTTCAAATATAACCTAAAATTGATTAGGAACCCGGATCTGCCAACAAAGTGACACGTGGCATATTCATCAGAAATACAGACATGATGAATGTTGTAACATATTCATCATTGAATGTGTGATTCATGATAGAATAGCACTTTCATAGTCATCATGAATGTTTTATTCATAATGAATATTGATCCTATATATATAGGATCAGGTTCAAGAGAAAACTACAGAACCTCATAACTGTTCATCTGGACGGCATGCACATGTACGCACAAATAATTTGTAAGTAATTTGTTCAATATGCACATGTGCATAAAAACCAAAAAACAACATCAATTACTTGTACATATGCACATGTGACATGTGTGCATACCGTGATGAATGGTTATCGAAGTGTTCCTCAGTTTTTCATTTTTTTTCGGGGTTTTCCTCCGAACCTCCATATATATATATATATATGGAGAGAGAGAGGATCATGCGAGAAGCAAAATAATTTGTAAGAATGCAAGAATCAATATGGGCCACATATCTTATTTAATGAATGGATAAAGCAAAACATTATTAAATTAAATTAAAAGGATATCTATAAACGTGGTGACCTAATAAATTGGGATTGAGTTTTTTTTTTTGGAACCTATTTTCAATACTCCTTAATAAACCGATTTTATTATAACGATAAATTTGTAACAGCTTGACTATAAGTTTTTATTACATATGATACTTTTTTAATCATATATGATAATTGTAGATATTTATGTTAATAATATGTGATTATGTATATTTACATTCATAGATCTTTTTGTGATGTAAGTATTATCACATGTGATTATACTTCACTTATATTAAAACACATATTATCATATGTGATATGTACAAAAATTCACATAGTGGATCATATACGATACGTAATAGATCATATCTTAAACGAAATTAATACATGTGATTCAAAACGTGGATCTAAACAATAAATAAAAAATGGTGAAAAAACTAATGAATTGATTGTGGATAACATGTGATATTTGATGAAAATTGTAAACCTTTTTTTTTTTTTTTATCAAAAGTGTATCTACAATTTTTTTTATAAAACTTGATAAAAAATTAATAATTAACTAAAACTAAAAAATAAGTAAATCTGAAAGATATAATAAGATTTTAAAGGATTATCCTAATTTCTAAAACTATTTTTTATTTTTTATTTATGGTATTTTTAATTAATGAATTATGGAGCTCATATTGCTTCTTCCCTTTGTGCAAATTGCCTTCTCGTTTGAACTTGGATGCATGGTATTTTTAAAAAATAAGTAAATCTGAATTATGGAGCTCATATTATATAGGGTTGGTCCAGTGAAAAGGAGAGTTAAGATGAGGAGCGTAAGAAGGATCTCTACTCTTGGATGCATGTTAGAATGAGATGCACCGGATCAACCCCGTATCAAACACGATTCATGGATGGGTTTGAGATTTAAGGTGATCAAGGGTCCAAATCCCTTTTTATGCTTCACACCTTAACTTTCCTTCTACACGATCTTTCGGTGTGTGTGTGTGTGTGTGTGGGGGGGGGTGGGGATGGAAATTGTTTATGCAAGCAAGCAAGATTACTTTCTGAGGTCCCAAACTCGCAAAGTCTTGTCAAGTGAGCTAGAAACAAGCAAGTGGTCCTCCGGAGCAGCTAACTGCAGGGATTGGAAGATGAGAGTGAGTCTTAGTCAAAAGATAAAAAGACTACCAACATGGCGACTTAACAAAACCATACCTTTGTAACATATCCATCATGAGCTTGCCATGATGTAATTAAATTTCCACTCCTCATATCTAGCAACCTGCAGTGACCAGAACTTAGTCCAGCGGCAATCCAGGATGGTGAAGTCGCACCACCATTAGTAGAACCACATGAGCATATGGAAGAGATTAGAGAAGGAAAACTGGATTCAACAGGATCACTCCTCCACAAATGAAGTTTTTGACCTTGATCGATATCGATGAATCTGAAAACACAAAGAAAATGGAACACATTTTTTTTTTATTTGCTCCATGTTGATGTTTGTCAGGAAAGTCATTTAGGTATTAAAAGATTTACCTGAGAGAACCATTTCCGGTACCTGCCACGAGCCTATTTACAGTTTCCAGGTGATGCATACACGTATACAAACTCCCATCATAGGCGCTACTCAAAATTCCAGTGCCAAGTGAGCTAAAGTCAAGCATATTAGCTTGGTCGGAATGTATCCTTGATGCAGAAGTCGAGGAGTTCCCATATTGTGCAGAATGTTCAGCAATGAAAGATATATTTTTTCCTGATTGGCTATTCCAAACATGAATTGTACCATCACAAGAAGCAGTTCTTTCAGAAGAAGCCAGGACACAAATTTCATTCACAACCTGACCAAGATATACAGTAGCATCAACCTTTACTCAATATAGAACTGACAACATATATGCAAAAACTGACTGGAAGAAATATACAAAAATTGTTGAACTCAGCGTTCAATTAGAAATACTGATTAATACAAGGGGCTGGAAGAAATATGTGCATACGGAAGTATTGAAGTTGGGGTTAATAGCATAAAAAAGAAGATGGGATTGGAAAAGCAAGAACCAATCCTTGTAGCTCAATGATGCTAAGCAGAAACTATACCACGTGAGCTACGTCTAGAAATTGGCATAAAATCTGATGGGTTCATGCTTCTAAAAGATATAATGCTGCCCAAATACTTTCATACTATTCAATCTACCCCTATACATCATAGAAATTGCCAAAGATATTAAAAACCACCAGATTTATGCAGCTCCGCAGCAAACCAAATCAGCAGAATATATGTTTTTATCGTCAATATTTGTAAATATTTTGTTTTCCTAGATTAGGAGATATATAAGCTTGTTTATAGGCTAAAAATATGTATATTTGCTGTATTTTAGGGCAACTAATCAGCTTGTATGTTGAGTATCTAATGAGAATTTCTCAAAGAGAAGACACTTTTTCCCTGAAAAATCTCTTTAAGTTTGTCAGAAATTCCTTATAATCATATGGTGTCACTTGACCCACAGGACCCTTCTGAGATTCTCCCTTGATTACTAGTATCAGGTCAATCCGACATGTAGTATAATTGTACTAGTAAGGTATACTCGTATTGGGTTTTACTCGCATATCTAGCATGGTATCAGTCTTTGTATGCTTAATACTAGTAAAGCTTCCTCCTAAATCCAACTACATTTGTGTTATTATGCACTATAATGGTATTTACTTGCTGTTATATGGCACAGGCACCAAATATATGAGAGAACAATTAGATATTTTTGTAGTAACCAAATTAGTAATTGTATACCTATTGGGCACACATATGGATGATTAAAGGTTGTTCTTTGAGGCTAAAGATGACATCTCCAAGAACTTAAAGACACCAACAATAATCACATAATCAGCTAGTACAGTATAGCAAGCGTAGAACCACTTCTATCGTGGACAGCTACATTGTCTATGTTTTCAGATCTCTTGATAATTTAACGAAGATCTCGAAATGCCTCAGTCCAACCACTTAAGAAAAAAGTATCTTCAGTCATAATTTTAGTCTTGGAACTTTCTTGAAAAATTACTAGGTGATAGCATCCGATTCAAAGAAGCAACTTAACTAATGAGTTAGCCAAATAAATACAAGAAACCTTTGTACCAAGTTTTCTTTCCATTGAGTTACAAATTTGGTTATATACATATATTTAATAATTAGATACAATGTAGATCCATATAATAGGTTTATCAAGATAAGCCTTTGAACCCTCCGAATTCTACTCAACATAAAAGACCTTGTGACCAACGTATGGTACCTTACATCAAATTCAATTTGCAAAAATTTAAGTTGGTGATAATAAAAGATAGAATAACTATACGTGAACCTCACTGGTGGTAGCCTAACAGTTACATTCTAAAGATCATGGTTCAGAAAATCTTAAACCAAATTGGTAAGAGAACAAACCTCTTCATGGCCATCATATCCAGATGAACAAGAGATTCTTGATAAATCCCACTTCTGGACAGATCCCTTAAATCCTGGACCAACTCCAGCTGTAAAAAAGGTACACTCATCTTGGCAAACAGCAAACGACCTGAGTGCTCCATGGTGGGCGCGGACAGAGTGTACTACAGATGCACTGATCTTCCATGGAATTTCATTACTTGAAGCCCCAATGCGACCAAGAAAATCCGGTCCATCCCAGCTAGGTGCAGGACTAGGGAACCAATGCCAGGGTTCCTGCTCTCTAGTTGTTGAGGTTGTCACATGCCTCTGCGCAGAGTTATTTTGATGATCATGTTGTCGCTTATGAGGTCTTGAGTTTTTGGCACCTTTATCTCCTGGTGATTGAGGTATTGACCATCCAAACCCATGAAGTAGCATTTTAGCAGGATTGTATTCAGCAGTTGGGTTCTTGCTGTAACTTGCCCTTCTGGCATTTATGTCCACAGCACCACGAGAAGATTCCTCTGTGTACTCCCACTAAAGCATGACAATTTTACGAAACAAAACTAACATGCAAGTGAACAAAAACACTAACTTGTGCTCATAAAATGGATATCTTAGGAAGCATGAAAAATATCCCACCTTCCAATTATGATGCCACAGAAGATACTGTTCAAGAATCAACCATGTGGTACAACACTGACGAAGTGTCTCTATTCCAAGAAGAGATGCAAAAGGTGGATATAGAAGCAACCTGTAAATATCCTCTAACAGGTAAACATTGTGAACATGAAAATGCAGCAATCCAGATTGGTTATCTCCATCATGAAGAATGCTCAAGTAAAGTGGGCAAAAACCTACACAAGATCCATTTTGTTTTCCATTTGCTCGTCCTCGACTTTATTTTTAGAAGCTTTCTGACTTCCACAACCAGGACCACTGCGAGTTTCCTCAGAGAAGGCAAGTTTTTCGAAGAGTTCTTTGAGTTTCGGCATGACATACACTGATGTTAATTCTGGTCCAATCTGCTGGGAAACTGCAACAAGACTTGTAGCAGCAACCTGTCACACAAAGGTCCAAGCTTTTATAGTTGATCCAAATAATTTATCTACTTAATGTTTGTGAAAGTTAGAGCTAAGAAACGACTGGAACACCTGAAATACTGGAATTCCCAAATTGGCCATCATAAGAAGCTGAATATAGAGGCAACCTCCATCCTGGTACGTTTTAGTCAGTCATAATAAACTCATCATACGAGTTCCTGGATCAGATTATTGACAACTTAGGTAACGGTGAAGAGTAGGTTACATACCTCAATCAGCTCTTTGACAACCACCTCATTTGGCAATAATCCCACTATCCCATCTAATGTCATTAGACAATCAATAAGAGCCAAGGAACTCCAACTCTGCACAGGTTCGGGTCTACTAACATTGGAGACATCGATGCAAGAACGTACGACATTTTTCAGTAATGGAAGAATCTGTTTGACGATAAAAGTCTCTCCAAAAAGACCACCTGCATGTTAATAGTGGTTAGCTTACAGACTTGAGTATAACATTCCAAAAACGGTATGATTTCTTCATATAGAAAAATCAGGATTACCAATTCTAACAATGGCATCAATTCCATCACTGCAAAGCCCCTTCCCGAAACAGTGGATCAAAGGTAATATTGTCTGGGTAAGGAAGGAGTGATTAGTTAGTCAAATAGTATATCGACCTTTTCAAGTTATAATTAAATCCTCCTTAATAAAATCAGAAAATTGAGAAGTTCACAGCTTATTAAACCTGGTGAACTGTAACAGGTACACCAAGCTCGTCACTTGAGCCAATCAAAAGCACCGAGGCAGCTCCAGATGAACTCTTATGAGGAGAAACATACAAATTCGATAGAACCATAGGATGTATATTCTCTAAATATATTTGTTTACCAATCGTGCTCCATAACTCACGTACAAACGAATCTTGAAGAAGAGAAACCTTCATACGTAAATAACCTATGGTCTGCAAAAGAGTCTCACTGTAAGAAGCCAGAAGAAAATGTTTCCAAGCCACAAACTATAGAATAAAATTTGCAACCAGCCTGCAAAATTTTCTGGATCACAGGCAAGATAAGTGCCTTCACAGCTTTCAGGTTCAGACACTTCAAGAATTCTTTTAGCATTATATAACCGCATTCTGCTTCAGTGTCAGATAAAGGTGCGAGTAAAAGAGGTAGGCAGTAGGGTGCACACATTTCAGCTGCGAAATTTCCCATTGATTTCAAAGCTCCACATTTTGCATAACTCGCAACATAATGAAGCCGAGATCCATCTTTTGATAAAACTTGAAGTGGAGCTAGAAACAGGTACGATGACCTAACAGTTGCAGGGAAGTAGGGAGATTCCAAAAGAGACTTGACAGAAGGTCTCCTGGTAATTGAAAAAGAAAGGATAACTTATAGTGTAAAACCTAATAAAAAGAGAGCAAACTATAAATAAAATTACAGTTCCAATTAGCTGAAGATAACAAAAAGAAACCAAAAGGTCATTGCCCAGCGGTACCCAGGTTACTGGTAGAGCTCAGCCTCCCAGGAGGTCAAGGTTCGAACCACATCAAAGTTGAGGAGTGTGTATGAGTATTTGCCATATATAAATATTATCTACTTACAGAAAAGTCATTGCATTCCTTTTAAGAGGCAGAAAAGTATTGAAGAGTACCTATTCCATTCCTTCTGAATGCATGCTTCAACAAGAATATTAACTTGAGGGGGAAGTTCCAGCATCAACTTGGGCAGGACACCACTGTGTAAGTACTGGGTTAAGGAAGTTGGATTAAACAGTGGCCTCTTCAGATGTAGTTCTGCTAAGATGCAGCCAATCGAAAATACATCATTTGCAATATCTACAGAAAGGTTTGGTGAACGAGATGCTTTCTGCTTCCATAGAAAGAAATCTTGATATCCTGGAGTACTATTATCATCTGAATCAATAGTCTGAAGAAGGAAATTTATATCAATAATTGACGGCAACTTGGAGTATGTGCCATATTCAAATGTGTCATTTGCAACTTTTGCTTGACTTATGGATTCTTCTGAAGCAGAGTCGTCCGTTACAAGATCATTTCTATACAGAGGACTCAAATTGGAAGCATGTTCAATGAATGTAGCTGCTTCCTCTAGTGCTCGTAAATTAGAAGTATCATGAAGCAGATGCTTCACACTCTCAACTTCATTCATTTGCCTTTGACTCAAAGCTGAATCAGTGTTATGTTGACAAGCCTTCTTTATAACACCCCAACGAGCAGGATGGGGTAGACTAAAGAGCTGACGACGTCCCGCCGATCTGGCCTTTGTAGGTTCTGAAGGGGGCAACATGACATTTTTTGCAGCAATAGCTGCTTGCCCTGACATCTTGTACCCAAAGATAATATCTATCCAATGATGAATCTGGCATGATACACGATAGCTTTCTAAAGCATCTCGATGCAATCTAATAAACTCCTCAGGGCTACCTGCCCATGAAGGTACTGCTAAATCAGACATCCCAGAATGTCGAGAATGGAATATCTGTGGATCATAGTAAAATTCAGGGATGCATTCATCTGGGGTCCACTGGTAAAGCCTGTGCATTGTAGAGGGATACTCGTTTGGTTCATAGACTGAACGAACAGCAGTACGCAAAACACTTAAAGGCAACCTTCTTGCTTTGTAGCTACAGACAGCTAGTTCTGAGAGGCATTCATCTGAAACATGATGTGGGACTTCCGATGTTAAATATGTGAAGTCCAACTGTTCATCACCTTTTGCCAAGCGCCACTTACTTTTACTCAAATTTCGCCAACCTGTGTCATTATTCTCATCAGGTTTTACACTGAAATCAATAACCCATGGCATAACAGTGTGAAAAGTGTGATCTCCCCATCTCCTACCAGCTACTCTGTTTAAGAAGAGCAGATAGTCAAAGTTACTCATGTCTCCACTCCACCAACGAACAAACCCAGTATGCCAATCTGTAGGATGGGATAGCTTCAAACCAGCATAGAGTTCACTTGAATGACAGCCTTTGGTGCAACAACCAATCTTTCTAGGGGAAGCAGCATTGGACATTTTACTTCTGGATAAGTTGGAGTTTGATTGTAGTGTATCACCGATATGCAGCCAACACCAGAAGGAATCAGTTAGTAATACATTGGATGGGCATATGCTACCATGGGAAATCCCTAAGCCATGCATGTATCTCAAGGGAGAGAGTAGTTGATACATTAAAAACTTAATATGCCAGTTCGACTTTAAGGCATCAGGGCTGTAGTGAAGAATGTTTTCCAAGGTATAAGGAGTTTTTGGTAGTACTAAATTGATATGGGTGGATGATTTCATCATGCTCAAGATTGGTACTATGTTTGGATGTCTTAGGCAACCAGGAAAACTAGTTTCAGTAAATGAGGGTACTCCAACCAAATTAAGAAAGTTTATGCTATCTCGTCCTGTTGCTTTTCCTTGTATCAGAAGACTAAGCGAGTGCAATACATGATCTTCTGAAATCCCAGACAAGAAACTTGAAGTGAGCTCCTCAAAAGCAGGAAATGATGCAGGGCCAATCTGAGAAACTGGAGCCAACGCCGTAAGCGTCCTCATGCAAGAAAACCTTGTAGAAAAGTAACAGGTTGAACTGCTGCAGCCTAATCCAGGTAAAGATGTCTTTCCCCCACCATTTGACAAAAATAGAGGTTCATTTGCTTTAATTTCTAAAGGAACAGGTTTGTGACAAAGATTCCCAGTACTCACCTCTTGCTGGTCTTGAAGTAGTACCGGTAAAGGTGTGTCATCCTTTGTTTTACAGTTATTTCCAGTCAGCTGTTCTGGACAATGCTCGTTGCTGGAAATACAAATGCAGGTCCAGTTACACCATAATGAAGTTTACTCTTATAAGATGGAAAGAAAGTATCCTCAACAAATACATAAGCCTACTGAATGTGTGATACATATATTTCAATCTGGATGTACATCAAAACATCAAATATTCATGTCCACAGACTGTACCATGTGTTACATGCTTCCAGGTGAATAATTTCAAAATATCCAAAGAAAGCATAGTTCAGAGTCAGATGATTCGGTAGAATAGGGAAAGGACATCTACACATAGATGTTGGTCAAGGATCAAGCGTAATAGTTTTGAATGCTGAACTCATTATTGATCGCATGTACTTGAGGTTGGCACAGTTGACTAAATCAATGAATTTAGTCGGTCTCAACACATTTATGTTCAAAATCACTGCTGTCGACTTAGTTTTTCTTAGAGCACTGACCTATTTGAACATCACATTCATTAGGCCCCATTTTTTTATAAACACATAATCACTAACAATTTATTAGAGTTTTCATTCATATATCCTACACAACCAAAGAAAGCCAAACCCTTAGTTGGTAAGTACTAGTTATCTAGGTTGGTACAAGATTCTTAAGAACCCCAAAACCATATGCTAATTTGAACTCCCCTAAAATCAAATGAGAACTTCCATACTACCTCTGAAGGCTCTGATCCAAATATCATACCACACCTTTGTCTTGTTCCAAACTAAATAAATGGGAAAGATGAATTTTGAAACAATTGCCTGACTGGTGGTGGAAATATCATTTACCCATACAGCAGCTTATCTTAAGATTAAAAAGGACATGACTTTGGTAATGAAATTGTAAAGCATGCATATTACTGTTCTTAATACTCATAAACTTCCAAAGAGGAATACCCAATCACCCTTTCTTTCTAGACACGTCTAACAATAAAAAGTTGTTGCAAACCAATAGGGGAAATCTGTATATATGGCGTTCTCGTGATCTATTCAGAAAGTTCTTTTCATCATATGTTGGAACGGAATCAGTCAAGTGTAATGTAGCAGAGTAGCTTAAGATAGTAGGGGAATCGGCCACAGAAAAACTGATCATGTATACAATTTCGTATTATCAAATGCTGAAATCATACAAATAGCCTAGATGATCATACATGTACTTGGTGAAGCAAGCATCTTTATTAATCCGCAAATACATCAAAATGAAGTGAGGTGAAACCTCCCCATCAGAATTTAAGACCTGCATCAAAGGACCTTCAATTTTTAGCATGCTTACATCACCATACAATCACAGTAGTTATGTATTTACATAGAAACAGACAGAGAGAGTACCTGAACAACGGCGTTGGAGCCGAAGGGAAGGGCGGAACCGGCGAGGGCATAATTGAAAAGGAGTCTGTCGGAGAAATCGGTTTGAATTTGACGTTGAAGACAGTCGAAACACATTTGAGGTTCCATTGATTCAATTTCTTGAGTTTGGGAGAAACATAGACATATATAGTACTAGTCGTAGTGGTGGTAATCGTAGATCCGAAAACTGAGTTCAACAGATTTTACAGAAGTTTGGTGTACCGGAGCTGATGATTCTTCGTCCCCAACCGGAAAACGTCAACTTTTGCTGTAATCTCTAATTATGCAACACACCATATTCATTTTGGTTATTGGATTTTAATTAAGCTATTACCATTTTTAAAGTTTAATGGTGGTATTAAGGCCATCTCCAATGTACAGTTCTTGTACAAAATTCTTTTATCAACTTTTTCTACAACATATTTGAAAAAACTTATGTTACAAGTCAGGACTTTTTTTTACCGGTTTGGTACCGATATAAAACTTATTATAAGTCAGAAGGGTTTAACTTCTTTAAAAACTTCTTATTACCGGTTTGATACCGGTATAAGTTGTTTATCCAAACTCTCAAAAGTGTTTATTATCGGTGTCACACCCGAATAAGTCAACAAGTTGTTTTTATAAGCAATCTCAAACAACATTGAAGACGGTGTAGAGGGATAATTTGCAAGTTTTTTTATTTATTTTAATTTTATTATTTGATATTTATTTATGAATGTATAATTATTAATATTGAAAAAATACCTATTAAAACGTTTTGTAAAAACTATCATTGTAAATTTTCCTATTAGTTCTTACTTTGATGAGATAGAAGTGATACGACAATAAAAATATAAAAATATCCATTAAATAATGGATGCTCTTAAAAGAATGTTAAAATTTGCTTCAAATCATCGTCTATATAAATATTATTGTCAATTTATTTCATTTTGTTTTTTTTATCAACTTTAAATATATTGGCACTTGATTGAAGACGCAACTTTCGAGCAACCAAATTTATCGACCAAACGCCTATAATTTGTGGGAAAAAAGTGTTCGAATTATAAATTGATTCCTTTTAAAATGAGAATAAGAAATTGTGAAATGATGAAAAGTTCATTTAAGAAATAAACCACCTATTTATAGTCCAGTAAGACAAGCGACCATCTAAACCAACTATGTTGAGATTAAGAGATGATAATGCGTTAGTCTTAATAGACTCATAGCATAAATAAGTGAAACTTTATATTGGTAGACTCCGCTCATGCTCAAGAACAAGAACACAAAGACACTCCGTTCGTACTCCTCACCCGAGGAGTGCTTGCTCTCGCTTGCTTTGCTTCCTGATCTTATTCGTATTCTGAGATTTGCTACCGTCAGTAGCCTTCCTCCTAAGGGTAGGTACTACGGACTATAAAAAATATCGAAAAAAAAAAGGCTTTCTTTTAATACTACAACATAAAACTGAATAATATAACCGATAATACCTTTGATAAGCAAACTTATATTAGTTAGACAAATAAGCACCATGGCATGAACAATCTTGGACTTCTTTAATCTCTCACACACACACAATATTACCAAAATTCATTCAAAAAACCACTAAATTTGCAGCAGAAGAAAGAATAAAGTGTGGTAAAACATGGATATTGACAACAAAAAAACAACTGCAAAGACAGTCTCATCTATGATTACGATATTGAGCAAGTTCATTGTTTACACGTAGAAGCAACTTCTGTGAGTTAGCCAGCCTCTTACCAAACTCACCTCTCATCAACTCCTGCTGTTGCTGTTGCTGCTGACTACTACTACTACTACTATTAGGATTTGATGATCCAAGAACCTTCTTCATCATCTCATCTAATTCTGCAACCCTTCTCTGTAAATTGGTTTTCTCACCCTGCAAAACCAAACATAAAAACAAGTTTTATTCATCATCATCTAAACTAAAAACTAAAAACTAACTAATAGCGATACCTTGAGCATTTCGTTCTGTGCCGTCACCAACTGCTCCCGCCCTTTCAGTTGCCCCATACTCATCTTAATAGCAAGCATATCTGCTTCTTTACAATGTATTTCCGAAATGCACCTGTCTCTTTCTTCATATAAATCATTCATTTCTCGCTTCAGTTTGCGGATCTCTTGCTCCTGATCCAATTGTTATATGTTCAATATATATGTATATTATATATATTCAATTTCCAGCAACATGGTGACTCTTGACTCACCATTGATGTGAACTCCAGTGCTTGCTGAGCAGCATCCTCGATAAATCTTTGAAGCTGCTTCTGGTTTATCAAGTTCTATATTGCACCAATACACATATTGCTTTGGTCATCATGATTAAGTAACTAAGCTTTCAAATGAATAGTGTTTAGGTGCAACTCAAAACTTACTGCATATTTAGTCATATCCAACTTCACGCCAAGTAGATCACGGATTACGTCATGTGTCATACTCTCTGCTGCCGCCAATTTAGTCCTTAGCATACATATCTGTAAACATAAGTTGCATCATTAGATTGCAATACAATGATGTTAAGCATTTGGTCCAAACTAGACATGCTAGTGTTTTTCTCATTTGACTTCTAAATTATCATAAACAGTAAAAATTCACCCAAAATAATGATAATAAGACAGATAAGTTTCTGGTCCTACTCTGTAAATTGCTGAAAGAGTTGAACTTGAAAGTGAGATTCTACTTCACTGACAGATATGCAAGTGTGTGTGTGTGTGTGAGTTCTTTAACGTTTTTCAGAAGAGAAAATATCTAATCATAGTAACCTCTTTCTGCCGACTTGATGCTAATGCTTCTTGCTCTTCTAGTCGAAGCTTGGCCAATGATAGTTCCTGATCTTTCTCTGTATTCATCTGCTGGAGTACATTCCCTATACATCTGAATGGTGAGCTAGAACCCCTTGCTCTCACCAAGCTCTTTTCTGTCTTGTCTGATGATGGTGCTTCAGACACGGACTTTGATGAATCTGTCTTCATCACACTAACCATTGCTTCCAACGACTTGTACTGTTATAACAAATTGGATTAGCTACTATGTATATGGAAAAAGTACAAGTGTCTTACAGAGAGCTGAAGTTGAAAATACGGGGCAGCAGCGAAAGCTGCAAAACACCATATTGATCACAAGAAAGATTTACTTTCCTATAATCCCTTTTCTCTTCCCCTCTTAATGAGCAAGTGGTTCATTTCACCCTATTCTAGTGAATTTGGAATTGACCTAACAGTTCAGATTTTAATCTTCAAAATCTTATGGCTGCCTGGACCTGTATGTACTTATCATGCTGTTTGGTTCACCTAAGGTATGTGACCTCACAGAATATGGTGGACCCAGTGAGCAGTTAATCTGTGAAATTCTATATATAGAGATAGACCACCTGTTCTTTTGATACCTGAGGCTCTTAGATAAGTGCTACGAGAAATTCAGTTACTTTTCGTACCTTCTGCTGATACTGGAAAGCTTGAGCTTCTGCATGGATTACAAGTTCTGATATGTACTCTTTACATTGCTTGATCTGCAAGACAATTCATACAACTCTTAGATGAGATCAGAATTGAATAATGCAAGTGAAAATGTTATGGTTGATTGGTTGTCAGATTAAGCTTTAATGTTCTAGTCTAGGTTTCACCTCGTTAGCTTGTTCTGCTCTTTCATCTTCAAGATCTTTTATTCGCACATGTACCTCCTGAAGTTCCCGGCACCTGTTATGCAGTTTCCTGAGATGCAAATAACCGTTAGCCAAATAAATACAGCAGGAGCTTTGAGATTTCAGATAAAGTTATGATTGTTCGGACCTTGAAATTTGATCCACAGATTGATCAACACTATTGTTATCAGAATCCCTGCTGTCTCTAAAGTTTTCAACAGTCGATAGTCTTTGATTCAGTGACTGGAGTTCCAGTTCTAGTGAATCTCTTATCCTGTGATGTCTCTCTAGCTCCTCTTCCATTTCGTTCACCTGAGAGAGATACAAGTAAGTTCTAGTGTAGGAGGGGAAGGGTGGAGGAAGAGGACAGAAAGGCAAAAAAAAGCCTAACAAATTCCTGAATGTTTCATATTACATTCGCAGAAACTAACCCTTTTCTCCAGTACATTTATGGTACAGTCAAGCTCCTCAACAGAATGTTCTAAAATCTTAACCTCCTCTTCCTTTTGTTCAGCATAAATTTTGTTTGTCTCTGACTCCTGGAAATTGGAAACAGACATAAGCAAACACAAGATTTCACAAAAACTGATTACCTGAAGAATTTTTCATGGCTGTTACCTGACGTGCCTCTACAGCAACAGCTTCATTTTCATCAGCAATGGCATAGGCCATCTCAAGCCTACCTTGCAAAGAACTAACTAGCTCACATAACTGGTCTCTCTCACTGGAAACCCTCTTCAAATCATCAGTAATGCCTTCTAGAGAAAAGAGGAACTGTTCTTGTGCTGAAGAAGTTGTACAATGAATTTCTTTTTCTAAAGATATGACAATTTCCTTTTGTTCTTCGAGTTGCTTTTCGGTTTCCGACTTTTTAAGGTATAGATCCTCTAAAAGACTTCTCAATTCAGCATTTTGGTATGACAGTGCATCCACAGTTTCTTCGGCATGTCGTAGACAAGATTTTGAGGCAGAAAGAGCTGTTTCAGTATCAGCTAAACAGCATTCAAGTTTTTCATATCCATCCAGCATGCTATCAAGCTGATTCGTTTTCATCTTTAGTTCATGCTGTACTTGGCTCAAGGCTGTGGATAACTTTTCAGCTTTATCTTTTATGTCTTTTCTTGTAGAGGCTGATTCCTGTAACAAGCTAAAATCGAAAAGTAAACCATTTAACAAAGTATTTCTCCGTTCCAATTCTTTCTTTAGTTTTAAGTTTTCGTCGATCAGGTCATCAGAGCTTGCACCTAACTCTCCTGTTTCGTTTCTTGCTGCCAGTGCACTATAATTCTCCTCTTCACCACCATCCACAGCATTACTGATCAAATGGTTTTGTCCAAACTGAAGAGTTTCAACGTGTTCCATAATTTCTTCTTGAAGTCTGGATGGCCAGTTCACCCCAAGTTGGAATTTGTTGATATATTCTCCAATATGGCATTGTTGTATGACAAGACATTCAAAACTTCTTTCCATAGTTTCAGCACAGATATCTTGCAATGAAGATCTTGATTTGCACATACTGTGGTGGATGTCTTGGACCATTGCCAAGGCATCAGCATATATTAAGTGGCACAAATCCTCAGCCTCCCTTTGAAGGTGCCCAAAAGAACCTTCAAGCATGGACACCGAATTTGCAAGCTCCACCAAACTGCAACGGCTCTCCTCCTCCAGAACTGCATGCTCTTCGTCTCTCAAACGCAAGTCAAATTTGAGTTGTTTTATTTCTTCAATTAAGCTTGCCTTCTCCACCATTGCCTCCTCTGCGGCTTGTTTCCATCTACCAGTTAACATTTTTGCTTCTTCATTTGCTTTCAATAGCGCATTCAACATATTATCAGCCTCATCCACGGTTGCACATGTCTCCTCAAACTTGCTAAAGAAGCTACTCGCTTTACAAGCTTTTTCTTCAGCAACAAACTGCAAATGCCAAAGAAAAGAAGAAAATTGATGATTTCACCTGTAATGTTAAACAATCAAAAGTGTACAATGTTACCTTCCTTGCAGTAAAGCAGCATGCTGCATCTTCCTGCATCTCCAAATCACAAGGCTGACGAGTGCTCGTCTCTGGGTTTTGAAGCTCATTAAGTACATCTTTAGAAGTATCTTTCTCATCAAGCTTTATACACCCAAGTGATTGCATGAATCCTATGCCTGCTTTAGAGTGATATCCATATTCTTTGTCCTTGAAGACTGCAGCCAATTGAACATCTAATTTGATGAAAGCTTCATAGGCCATGATGAATTGCTTTTTCAAAAACAAATGTGCCACACTGCCAGCACTCAAACTTATCACGTCTCTGTCTTGCTTCTCTGATTCTTGATTAAAAGAGTATTTTGAGCCTCTTTCAGACACAATGGCTTCAGTTACTCCCAAAGATACTTCACAGCAGTCCTCAACTAATATGTTTTCCTGCACATCTTCATCATCAGAAAGAATATAGCTCGAAGTAGAAGTATCAGTCTCACATCCTTCCAAGTCTTCAGATATGACTTGATCATGGATAGAGCTTAAATAAGCCTTCATGTTATCAAGTCTGTTATTAATTGAAACAAGTTCAGCTATTATCTGATGCAGAATTAACAACTGATTTTCTTGCATTTGATGTGTACAGGCTTCCTCTAATGAAGTTTCAACTCTCGGTACTTCAGCCATTTTGTTTGTTTCTTTGAACTCTACCAAGTCTTTCCTCATCTCACAAATTCCTTTCATGAAATCATTTGCCAAATCCTTGTATAGAGAAAAAGCATTGTAAACCTCGGCCTGAAAAGTCGATAGACACATTTCTGCATCAATTGAAGACATATTTAAAGCAATTTTAGTCTCCTCAAGTCCTTGCCTTGCCACTTCAACCTGATCTTCGATATCCATCAACTTTGAACTATTTGCATAAATGTTAATCTCAGAGTCATGTTTGCTTTCTATTGTAGATGTACCAAAGTTTGATCTGATCAAATCTGTCTGAAAATTGTCAGTTTGGAAAATCTTATTTTGGTCAGACAGCCCTTTCGCCTCCAACAAAGTTGGCTTAGCATTGTCTACTACTTCACAGATCTGATACTCCTTGGACATGAATTCGTTGTCTTGAAAATCTATCATATTGGTCTTATCATCCAACTTTGAACTTAATGGATAAGCCTCTTTGATTCTTGCATCATGTTCTGTATACTGAATTTCAGTCAAAGCTATTGTTGCACTCCTCAATGAACTCAATTTCTCCTGCATTTGTACTATTGTACTTTGAGCATCCACCAGGTTCTTTTCCAGTTGTAGAATTGTTTGTTCCTTCTCAAGACAAACTGTTGCAGCCTTCTTTGCATGTTCACCAACCCAAACATTATAGCTCGGAAATGAATGAGCAATACTTTCTATTTGCCCAGAGACATCTTTAAGAGATTTAGAACCATCCAACAGAAAGCTTGTCAGCTCTAAACTTGCCCTCTCCCAGTCACTGTGCAACTTATACACCTCATCCTCCTTGGCTGCTATAATTCTTCTTAGCTTCTTATTTTCTTCAGACATGGAACATAATCTTCTGTGATATTTCACTTGTAGAGAAGCCAATTCTTCCTGTAAATGAAGAATTGCATTGGTTGCTTCGTTCTCAACTTCCTCATGAACTAAATCAACTTGGTCCTTAAAAGATGAATGTGATATGTGATCGTCAAGATCATTAGGTAATCCTACATCCTCGAGCTCTTTAGTCATCTTGTCCAACCTGGCTTGTAAATCCATCATGCCATCTATGCTGTCACCATTAACTGATGGCAGATTTTGGTTTAGGAACCAGCCACTTTCTGAAATGTGGCTTTCATGATCAAGCATGGGAGGTGTTTGTGCTTTGTTGCTGTTGCTTAAGGTTTCCACCAGCCTATCATTCTCTTGGCGCACGTATTGTAGCTCTTCAACCAATCTAACCTGCTGAGATTTCATGGCATCCAACAAGGTTCTCGCATCCATTAGCTCTTCTACGATGTTGGTAGAGGGTGACCTGTTGGTCCTTATGAGACCCATGTTATCAAGTAGAGCTCCATCATTCACTTGATCAGAGACTTCCATCTCATTTCCTAAATCTATGCTCAACCTGGTTACCTACAAAAGAAGTACAACGTATTTATTGAAGCTATAGATAATTTGAATTGAGGAAAAGTCCATCCACAATATTAGCGGTTAGCATAAACCAAACCAACTCGGTATATCCCACTCAAAAGTAAGAGTTGGGGGGGAGGGGGGGTATGCAGACCTGTCCTCCATCCCAAAGGATAAAACGGTTTCCATGAAACTATGCAAGCATGTGAGCTAAAATTGGAAGGAGAATGAAAACTAGTAAATTGAAAAGAAAATAAAAGGAATTGATTGAGAAAAATGACATACGTTAAAGATAGAAAAGGAAGTAAAAGCACACAGCCCTTCCTACCCTATCTGCCAGCCCTCTAACCTTCCCCACCCTACCCTCACCAACTCTCTCAACCCGTTTAAGATAATACCGGTCCCTACACCTAGTCTGCTACCCTACTCTTCGTCTCCAAGAACTCCTATCAGAGGTCATGTTCTTGAAAAGGTCTAAGGTCGCCATGTTCATGCACAGCCATTCATCCCACACCCTCCTCGACTTGCTCCCCCTTAACTGTCATGCTTTCTACCCTCCTCACTGGTGCCGTCGTTGGTCTCCTACAAAACATGTCCTACCACAATCCACCCACTTATTAATGGTTAGCATGTGAGTGCTATAAAAGCAAAGTGAAGTCCTTCGGGGGTTGAAGAAATGGTATTTTAAGGGATGTCTACGGATATCTAGGACAGATATAACAGAAGCATAAGGACATTGATGAGATACTAGAAAAAAGGGTGGATGAAGCTTTGACATGCTTTTAGAGACTAGTGTGACAAAATAATCCCACTGACATTCATATGGAAAGTTTTACAGGAAGAAACTAGACCTGCTATGCTTTATAGATCTGAATGATGAGCCACCAAGAGAAAACATGCACATAAAATTGGTGTAATGGTAAAGTGGATGTGTACAACCACTTATGCATGTGTAGGTGTTGAGAAACCGTCACCCTACTTCAATTACAGAAGATATTCCTCTTGGGATGTCCAACAAGAATTTCTAATGGCATAGCGCATGGAGATTTAAATGATGAATATATGTTGCAGGGCTTGACCTAAATGGCTGAGCATGGAGAGATGCTATTGAACTTTCTAAGTGTCAGGCTGGGTTAACATAATTTCTAACGGCTCTCATGTTAGCATACCCAACTAGTACGAAATGAGAAGCTTGTTGAGAGGGACGGAACATGCAACTTGAACACGTTCATGGATTCTTGGGACTCTGGCTCTTGGCAATCCCACAGCAACTTGATCTCAGAAATGTTACTAACCAAAAGGCCACTAAATTAAGATGATTCAACAAAAAAGCAGCAATATAAGAAATTTCAGACATAAAAATGAACTTTGATGTTATAACTGTGAACTTAAAAACAAGTATGTGCTAAAACTGGAATATCAAGAAACGTTCAGAGTTTTAGATCTTTCAGCTTCTTGAAGGGAAGTAGGATCCACAAAATTCATCTCAACAAAACCCCACTTCAAATGAAAGTAAATATTATTAGGCTTACAGGATATACTGCTGTTTGGCTGTAGGTCATGTATTTGAGCAGTTCGCTTTTCAAGTCATCAACCTTCCTGCAAACATAGAATATATTTGAAGCTTAACCACAAGTCACAAATCATGGTGTATTCACTAAATTCTGAATCAACAGAACCTGAAACTGGAAGTTAGTAAATAACCACAAATTGAAATTGCCGCCATAAACTGGATGAAAGTGCAATTACATGTGGAGATGTTAGAGAAGGCTATAAGTTAACTTCTTTCAAACGCACCTAATCAGTTTAGAGTTGGCGCACTTGTACTCCTCTAACTCCATTGCAGATTTGCCATCCTGCATCAAGGGAACCTTGGCATTTAGTCTAGAGCAGATGTCCCAAGAGGCCAAAACTAACCTTAACAATCAGATGATGCACCACAAACCTCATATTCTCTTTGAGTTGGAAAATTTTGCTCTACATAGCTTTCTTCAACCTCAAGTGTTTTTAGAAGCTTTGCATAGCAAGAAAAAATGTGTCAAGAGTTTTTTCTCAGCCGTAAATAATTTAAGAAATCATAGTGCACCTGATCATGTAATGCTAAGACTTCAGTTAGCAATGCTTCACGCTCACCGCGTTCGTAGCAATTTTGGAAGCTGGCAGCAATCGGAAGTGGTGTTTAGAATGGTGCAAATAGAAAACTTTGAGGTATTAGAGCTGATTTATGAGCAGTACAATGAAATCTTTTTAGGATATAGGGCTTAGGAAAGCTTCTTAAGAAGACCAAATTCGATGATGCAAACCTTGTAACTTCAGGATTTCTATCACTCCTAGCTTGCAGCTGTTGAATTTCTCCCATTAAAGCATTATTTTCATCCATGAGATAACTGTCGCTAGAGATTATTCCATTTGCAAGCAATTCCAAACGTTTTATTTTTTCCTCGCGAAATCTTAGCAACATTTTAGTACACTGAACATCTTCTGTTGGAAGAGCCTGCAGTAGGATCAGACCATAAATCCATTTGTCTCCATTGTCAACATCAGCAATAACATCATGGAGAATAATGACACAATTATAATTAATATTACTAATAAGAGACAGTAAAATAAAATGCAATAATCAAAAGCATCATAACATACAAGTCGGTTTTTCTGTTTGGATGGAGACTGTATGGCCCTAAAACCTGTCTCTGCCAACTTTTCTCCACTGGACTCATTAAGTAAAGTAGCTCCGAAGTTCTTTATCTGTCACAAAAATTAGCACATGACTACATAGAGCATTGTGCTCAAAAGTATAACATCTTTTAGTTACTGCTGACAGTTACCTTCCTTTTCTGGTCATTTAGGACATTACTTGCATCGGATATATTTTCCCCTGAAAGGTCTTCTCTTTCAAAAAATCTACCTAAACTAGGCTGGAAAGTTGGTCCAACTTGAAGAGGTTTTGAAATTTTTTGATGCTTAATCAATAAGGACATTTGTTCCTGTCATATGAATAATATACCTCATGTCAAATGCCTTAAATATCCAAAGATGACAAATTTGGGTCTGCTTTTTGTTATATACCTTTAACATTTGAATTTGTTGCTGCAGTGCTGTCACATCGCCTGATGCGTCTTCATTTACTTTTGCCTAAGGAAATAGAAGAAATTCAGGCAACAGTATTGTGTATTGTGTATTGAGGATTTAGATTGGAAGATATATAAGACTTCAGTGTTCATACATCATTCTGAATAAGCTTGGCACGCTGAGCAAATTTCAAGGTACTTAATGTCTCATTTGCAGCACTGCATATAAATATGTTATAATTACAATATACACAGACAAAACGCAAAAACAGAAATTAGTGCAAAATTCACACAAAAATATACGAACCGAATACTGACCACATTGAGGGGCTGACATTTGCTATAATTGTCGTTTTTGAGTTTCCACCAAGTGAATCCTGCATCCAGATAGAAAGAAAGTAGTGTAATTGTACATGTGAGAGACCTACCAAAGAGAATATCATATAGGATTATGGTATGACAATGTGCATTCACACTTTAAGCTGCTGACCTGAAGGAGAAATGTAAGTCTTGAGTCCCTGTAAGGTACATGTCTATGTTTCCCATGTGCAACATCCACCAGAGACATTATTACCAGACTACAACCACAAAAGCAATGTTTAGAAGCTTGTCCCAAACACATGAGCATACATTTTATGCCTCCATTTATATGTTCAACGTGTGAAAGCCATGCCTCTGTCAGTAGATCATGCATTATTTCAAATTAATATATGCATGTATGATGCAAGTTAAATATTTTTGTCAAGGAAGAGCTCCTCCAAAGCAATTCAAGAAATAGTTGATAAGCAGAAAGAGAAGGATCCAGATGCATGCAACAAAAACAAGGCAACAGACACGGGACTGGTCATGTGCTCGAACTATCAATTACTGAAGCTAGGTTGAATTATAAAATTTATGTACTAACCTAGTGAACAGCTGACTCCAGCCTGTTACTGGATATAGCCTAAAGCTGCGATTCTGGAGTACTATATTTTATTGAAGACAACTGTTTCTTATATTTTATTGAAGAAAGAGAAAGAGAGATGATACAAGAACAAAATAATTTACAAAAATGACAGAATAAACTCTGATCTATAAAGGAAAAGTATATACTACCGAATCTCCATCAAATTTTTTATGATTTGATTTCCAATCCGTCAACATTCCCCCTCAAGCTTGACTATAGATGTTGATGAGTCCAAGCTTGCATAAAATAAAATCAAATACTCGTTCAGATAATCCCTTTGTAAGACACTGTGAATGTCAGCTAATTGTTGGTTACTGGTAAAAAAGTCAATATTGATAACTCCTCCATCAATATTCTCGTTAATAAAGTGGCAGTCCATTTCTACATGCTTCGTTCAGTCATAATGTATGGGGTTGTGAGTTATCTTGACGGTGGATTGGTTGTCATAGTAAAGTTGATAGCGGACTTTGTATTTAATCTTTAATTTCTCCCAGAAAACGTTTTATTCAAATTTTCACACTCCATGGGCCATGGCTTTGTAGCAAGCTTTATGGGTTTGTAGTAAGCTTCTGCACTGCTTCTTGCAACAACATTTTGATTCTAGTTTCACCATGTCACAAAGTTCACACATGCTAAAGTACAATACCCATATGTGGATCTTCCGTCATCAATTGATACAGCCTAGTCAGCATCTGTAAATACCTCAAGCTTCTGCTTATTTGTTCTCTTGAGAAATAACCGTCTTCCTGGAGATTGCTTTGTTGGTAATTTAGTGAATCATATGATCATTTTGTGTAATTGTATTCACAAGAGAATAGAAGGGGTTGATATTTAAACTATAATACTGGTTGGGAGGTGCGGAAGTGCGCACTTCTATAAGCTAGTTAGAACCTCGAGTCACTGGATGTCACAATATGACGGGGTCAAGGGGTCGTGCCACCTTGCAGGGTACGAAGCGCGGCTCCCCTAGCGGTGGTCAAAAACGGTAATCACTAATTGTCACTAAGAAGAAATGTTCATAAGCTTTGTGCTTTCTAAAATTTCTAAGGGTGGGTATTTTTGAAAAAGCTAAGTTTGAGTCTAGTTCAGAAATACGCTTTCTGAAATGACTAAAATCTAGACACTTCAGAAGACATGTTCAAAAATTTTGCTTGGTTCAGAAAGCTACATGCTTTCTGAAATTTCGAAGTCTGAAAAGTTCAGAATGCAATTCACCTTCTTTACTTTGTTCAGAAGGCAAAGTTCAGAAAGCTTCACTTCTGAAGGGCAAAAACTCAAATGGTCATACTTGGATTCAAAAGGTATTTCACCTTGTGAACTTTTAGTGCAGATACCATTTTGTAACCGCCCAATAATTGCTCCATTACTACGCCTTTTTATAGGTGCATTCGTTCTCGACTTTAATTGAGATTGTCCTCGAGCGAATCAAGTGATCCCCAGACCCCATATTAGGGTCGAAATATTGCTTATGGGAAGCAAGCTCTAAACAATCTCGATATTTGTCCTGACTAAACCAGCTTTCTAACATGCTTTAGGTAATATGTGAACATAGTATCTATTTAGATACGCTCAAATGACCCCTTCTCACAATGAGAATGTACATAACCCTATTCCGGTTTGGTCTGGTATGAAATGAAGTTATAATCATAGAATAGACTCAAACTCAAGATCCTATACACAGATCAGATACCTTGAGAGGGATTGAGAATATATTGACTTACTAGACTCACCTTAAAAGCAATGCCAGGTCTAAAGATAGATACGTTTCCCTACTAATTACCGATATCTCACTTTGTCGACTGGATCTCCATTGAACATTTTTGTAACATCCCTGAATTCAATTGGGCTTTTCTTAAGTATATAATATTTATATACAACAAATGCAACAAATAAACTCACAGACCCTCCTCACCTTTGGTGAGGATTGAACCTTTCTGCTAAAATACAAAGATACTTCTTTTTGCTAGTTTCTTTTAGATACAAAGATACCCATTTTTGCTTCTAGTTTCCTTTAAGATACAAAGATACCCCATTTTGCTTCTAGCAAATTCAATACCCTAAAGTATCTTAGCAACCCAATATCTTTTGACCTCAAATTTCCTTTGCCATCATCTCTTTGATCAGACTTATTTCCCCAAGATTATTTTCGGTGGAATGACGTCATCAACGTACACAATCAAGATTGTCACTTTTCCTTTTCCTGAGTGATTAATGAACAGAGTATGGTAGTTTGGCTTTGTATATATCGAAGACCCTTGACTACCTTTAGAAATCTATTGAACAAACGTGATGAGATTGTTTGAGGGCATAAAGTGACTTGATGAGTTAGCAAACAAGTTAGCCTCAGAAGTTTCTTCAAATCATGGAGGTTGACTCATATAGGCCAACGTGGGACAGTGAATTTTGTCCATCCTATCTCCCATGTACCAAACGCAGTCTTAGAATGCATTTTTACATCTAGGCTATATAATGCCTAACCTAGGTTTGCTGCTAGAGCGAGTAAGACCAATGACAGGCGATTCTCTTCTCAGAAATCATGGTCCATTTTCCGATTCTTCACTATTGTGCACTCTAACTCGCTCCAAACCTCGAGATCGTCTAAGCGTATCGATGACTTTTCGTTTTCTTCAATAGTTCATGTTAGAAAGCTTACAATTCAAATCACGGAATTCAACTAATTTCTTAGTTCTTATTTCTCTAGTTATGTTCTCACGGAGTTGTGAGTAATCAACTTATCTTCTTCTAGTGGGTTCATCACACATTAGCCAATTTATAGACTTTTGTACAGAAAAATTGTTTTTGTACAAGAATTTATGGGTTTTGGTCTATCATTTTAGCCTTCAACCGGTGCTTCTTGGACAGCAGACAATGGACATAGTTTAAACTTACATATTGTTTTAATTAATAGTGGGTTCATCATTTTCATATCGCTTTAAATTAGTTTCTTTTTTTGTTTAGCCTTGACATTTTAAATTTATAAACCACCCAAGCATTTTCTATCAACCAAAGTGTTGTTGAAAAAGATTGAAGTTTACATTAGTTCATGTGTTCTTGCAATTCTTGCATTTTGTGTTCTTGATAATTGAGTCTAGGGCAGTAACTAGTAACAAAGTTTTGAAAGTCATGAACTTCAATGACAATAGAAGCATGGAAAGGCGGTCAATGTTCAAAAGCATACATGACTACAACTACTACTACTACTACATCCGATTGGGGTTCAAAATGCATCAATGAGATATGGTCATATGGCTTGACTTATTTAAGTTGATGTTTTGATGTTAAAAATATATATTTTTGTTGAATACATATAATATGTTAACGGGTTTCTTCTTGTTTTTCCATTAAGCTTTGTATGGATTAAGCTAAACTATTGTTAGTTTGGTATGAAGACTAAATTGCTTGCATCATATAAATGACAATTTTACCCTTACTGCTTGTTTTTTGTATTTTTCATTTAACACATGCTATTGTTTGAACCAATTGTGGTTTACAAGAAGTCAGTTAAAATCAAATAATAGCAATTCAATTAAAATCAATTTTGTTCTTGTTTGAACCAATTTTTGTTTGCAACAATTCAAGCAAGATCAAATATTAGCAATTCAATCAAAATCTCAATACTAAACTTGTAATTTCAGAGAAAATATGTTGTTATACTCATTGAAAAGCAATAGGGGTATTTATACAGCTTAGAGACCTAACTAGAATCCCATAATTTAAAGGTTTGATAACATACAAGGAAACTTACCAAACTATAGAAATATCTACCAAATATGTTACAAAAGGAAAAATAATCCCAAGAAATCACATATTATATTCATTGTATCAATTCCACACTCCCGCTCAAGTTGGTGCATATATATCATACATGCCCAACTTGTCTATAAGACGATCGAATGCCGGTCTAAATAGTCCTTTGGTTAATATATATGGTGTTTGCTCTTTGGAAGGGATGAATGCAATGCAGATAGTCCCATTGTCCAACTTTTCCCTTATGAAATGTCGGTCCGCTTCAATGTGTTTTGTCCTGTCATGTTGGACTGGATTTTGTGAGATGCTAATGGCTGCTTAATCATCACAAAACAACTTCATAGGTAGCTCAACCTTTAAACGTAAGTCAGCAAAGACCCTTTTGATCCAGATTATTTCACATATGCCATCTGCCATTGATCTGAATTCAGTTTCTACACTGCTTCTCGATACAACACTTTGTTTCTTGCTTCTCCACGTGACAAGATTTCCCCATACATAAGTACAATATCCTGATGTAGATCTTCTGCTCATGTTTGGGTCTGCCCAACTTGCATCAATGAATGCTTCAATGGTTTGGTTGTCTTTTTTTTATAGAGTAGTCCTTTGCCTGGACGACTCTTTAAATATCTAATAATTTTGTGGACAGCTTCTTCATGTTCTTCATAAGAACAATGCATAAATTGGCTCACAATGCTAACTGCAAAAGCAATGTCAGGCCGTGTATGTGATAAGTAAATCAACCTTCCAACTAACCGTTGGTATTGATGAATATTAACCTGCTTCCAATTAGTAATGCCATCCAACCTTTTGTTGGGGTCAATTGGAGTATCTATTGGTCGGCATGCACTCATTCCAGTATCTTGTAGAAGATCCAGAACATAT